CGATTCACTAACCTTGTAGAGGTTAATTTCTTCTGTATCTGGCTCCAGTAAATAGTATCTCATTAACTGAGTACTTAACACAAGCTAAATCTCCTAGTAGAATTATAGATTTCACTCAAAATTATTCAAATGCCTGAACATCAGTTATAGAAGTTGAAGTTTGGTAAAAATCCGTAAGCATACAGATAGCAAGCACAGAAGGAAATCAGTGAGTGTAGGTGTGTGCTTGTTTGAGTGTGAAAGATCCATATATATTTATGAGTGTTGATTCGTTGTGGATAAATTATTGATTATCTGTGTGTTACAACTAATGGGAGAATAGATTAAAGATTGATACATTGATACATGCACAGTTCAATCAAACTCACACATAAATTTACACAATACAATATTATATAATAGAAATCATGAGTCAATCGAAACTAGACTACCATGGAAAACCTGGAAGCACTGAACGGCCGTTTCGTCCTATTATGGGTCTCCACATCATTGCACATCCACAGTCCCGTCTCACGAGATTTGAACCCAGGACCTATCAGTTTCGCGCGCGAGCGCTTAAACTCTAGACAACTGAGTCGGCCAGCATCCAACGGTGTTAATATCTAGCTTTAATTCATGAAATTGATCAATATTTCACGAATGTCTTCAGTGAGTTGATATCTCCCAATAGACTTAGTTGAACTCTAGTCTCGCGCGCAAGGATGACAGGTTTTCGGTTCAAATTTCACGAAGCGGGGTCGTGGATGCGAACTGCTAAAAAGTCTCATAACAGGACGAAAGAGCCGTCCAGTGCTTCCAGGTTTTCCTTGGTGGTCTAGCTTCAATTGATTCATGCTTTCAACTATGAAATTATGATTGTTAACAATAGAATAAGATTTAACAGGATTAAAACAAGACTTATGATATTAAATAAAAAGATATTGTCTGGTATTTTTGAAATAAGGATGAATTACGAAGACCCAAAGACAAACTAATTACTACATCCCATAATCATATTAACTATCTTATTTACAAATGACTGTCTTTGTGTTTCATTCCTGAAGTACCAGTGTTAAACTGTGAACTGCACAGTCAATCATGTTGACAGTGATATGGTTAACCGTCGATCGAAATTAGATTAATTATTCAGTATCGTCAATTGACTGTGAAATATATCTCCTTTATATCCAGATTATTAGCTGAATATCTTCACTCTATCAATAAGGAGTGACTGATTAGGACTGTAGTCCTAGTTTGTAATGATTATCCAGTGACTTCAAACAATATTCATTTTTTTGGAAACCATGATGAAACACACTTTCTTCTATGACTTCTTCATCGTTTTCATTCATTGTTAGTCTGAAAGAACCTGTTACTTTGAGGTGATATACTGAGGTGTTTGAGTTTAGGATGTTGAAATAGCTTTATTTACATTTCTTATTAATCTTTAAATCACTATTATGTAATACTGTTCTACCCGAATCCAGCTGAAGGTTATGAAGCTAATGAACGATATAAATGTTGTTAACTTAGGCTGAAAGACGATTCTCATATGATTGATCACATAGCATTAAATAACTGTCCAGTTAATGATTGTATAATTCATGAGATCATACGAATTGGCCTAAAAAGAAGGAAAAATATCGGATTAATGGTTTAAATATGTATACGATCACTTTATAATCGATGCCGTCCAATGATTCGATAATTTAATAGTTGAATTCATGGGTCTATTAATTATAGAACACCATGGAAAACTTAGAAGCACTGAATGGCTATTTCGTCCTATTGTGGGACTCCTCTGTAGTATGCATCCATGATTCCGCTAACAAAATTCGAACCCAGGATCTATTGGTCTCGTGCAGCGAACGTTTAACTTCTAGACCACTGAACCGTCATCCAGAAGTGGTAATGTCTAACGAAACAATTATCCAATATTTTCAAGTTATCTATGGTGGTCTAACTTTAATCAACTCATGAATTCAACTATTAAATTACTACAATCTTCACAAAACCCCCTTTCTCGATTCTTCAATTCTATACTATAGAAACAAACAAACATACCTTTATTTCACTAATTTTCTATTTTTTGTCATTATTAATCTGATATATCATACTCAGTAACAAAAAAATATGAAACTAATTGAAAACTATTTCCGTTCTGTTTCTCTATATATTCACCGAAATGAGAACACATTTGAAGTTCATTCATGCATAGATACATTAAACACCTACACATGAATTCAAATTAAGTGTAAATATTTGATTATACTTTTCCCAGTTTATTTATTAATTATAGTTACAATGTAAATTTATGTTCAATGATAATACTTTGTACAATTCAAGTTATATAATTAAATGATAGAATTATCAGAAGGGGATTTTATGGAGATTTCACTAATTTCATAGTTGAAATCATGAATCAATTGAAGCTAGACCACCATGGAAAATCTGGAAGCACTGGACGGCTCTTTCGTCCTGTTATGAGACTTTTTAGCAGTGCGTATCCACGATCCCGCTTCACAAGATTCGAACCTAAGACCTACCAGTCTCGCGCCAGAGAACTTAATCGATAGACCACTGAGCAGGTTTTCCATGATGGTCTAGCTTCGATTGACTCATCATCTCAACTCTATAAAATGATAGAATTATTAATGTGTGTGTGTGTGTGTAGGATCTTATATAACATTAAATTAACTTAAGTACATTACATCAATATTCACTTGGAGTTGTTTACTTATATGTTCTTATTGTTATTTAGGACTGCAATCGATAAATTGCAGAACTCAATAGCTAAGTGGATAATGTGATAGCATTTGAAGTGCACAGTACTATGTTCGAGTCCCAGAGTGAGCATTAACTCCGAGATTCAAGTAAATCCAGTTGACAAGTTCCAAATAGGACGAAACGCGCGTTGTAGTTTCCGGTGTTCGCCACTATCCATCATTACATTAATAGTTTTTCATACTTTTAGCTATATTACTTGAATATGGAGCTTCAGTCATCATTCTAATAAATAACACCGGTGGTTAATTCTAATCGAAAATAGGATCTTGTTATTTGTTAACAAATATAAAAATATCTCTACAACAGACGTGTTTGAACTCCACTGGTCACCGCTTTCCATTAGAACTCCACTTAAATATCTCTTGATGTCAGTCATTAGTGAGCATATGATTATAGATCAGAAGGGGTTTTGTAGAGATATCAGTGGTCTATCAGTTAGGTGCTCTGGAGTGAGACTGGTAGGTCCTGGGTTCGAAATCTCGTGAGGCGGGATCGTGGATGCGAACTGCTGAGGAGTCCCATAATAGGACTGGAAATGTGGGTTTATGAGGAGACAAAGATAACAATAATAAACAATTTGAAATCTAATCACTTTGGTTGATAAGTTAATATTACCAAGGTAGGTTTAGGGTGAGAACAAACTGTATTTTGGATACACGAAGGGGGTTTAAATTTTCATATTGCTAAGGCTTTAATAAACCTTAGTATATACCCTTTTACACTTTTATACAACACCACAAAAGCCGAGTTATGATCAATCTTAATGACCTGTTTCGATTATATGTTTGACAATAGAGGATGATGGATGTTTATCCTCTACTCTTATTGGGTCATTCGACTGTATTTGTATTTGCAACCATTTTGGTACATGTTCACCCACCCTAATTACTCCTCTCAATGTATATGTGACCACATGCGGCTTGTTTTTTAGGATGTTTATATTTTCCTAATTGTAAGCTTTCATTCAACTCATCAGCTGATGTTATATCTTTCTTCGTTTTCGAATTATTAATATATATTTGATAAACATTCTGATTAAACACTTGAATCGGTTTCCTAAGCTCTTCTAATAACCCAAGACTAAATCCACACGACAGCTTGAACATGAGAGAAAAGGCGCAAAATGTTGAAAGAACACTTTACTGCAAGGTTCATTTTATGTACAGAAAATTCAGGGTATTTGTGGCATTTCAGATGACCTTGGGCTTCTGTAAGGGTCTGAAACACTACCAAACATAGTAGCAGGGTAGGTAATTATACAATCAGAGAGTTTACATGTGTTTATTTACTTACTAGATGTTTCTGAGATACTTCTATTCAATTCTATTTAGATAAAATGTTTCCTAGTGTTTTTAGAGTTTCTCTGGGCTTATTTGAGGAGTATCCTGGATCTCCCCAACTTGTTATTCAGATTTTGTTCCTTAAATGCTTCAACTTAGGAACATATTATAATTTCTTACATAGACTGTTTTGTGGTCTAATAATTTAATGTGTACAACCTCCGCAGTTTTTTAATCATGATAGAGAAATCACATCAGCTGACTTATTTTCGTGTTTTGATTGAGATTTATATATATGAATTGTGAGTATATCAGTAAGCCTTGGTATATCAGCTCACTTAGTTGAGGTAACAGATCAAAGTTATAATACTTACTAGAGGCTACATGTTTACCATCAGGATAATTGATTTATAGAGATTATTATCAAAAGGGGTTTTGTGGAGATTTCAGTAATTTTGGTAGTTGAGATCATGAGTCAATTGAAGCTAGACAACCATGGAAAACCTGGAAGCATTGGACGACCGTTTCGTCCTATTGTAGAACTCCTCAGCAGTGCGCATCCACGATCCCGCTTCACGAAATTCGAACCCAGGGCCTACCAGTCTCGCGCTAGAGCACTTAACAACTAGACCAATGGGCCGGCATCTAACGGTGTTGATGTCTAAATTCAACCGTTCCACGAAATCGAGTGACACATCCACCAATGTCTTCAGTGAGTTATTACCTCGCAACAGGCCTGGTTGAACTCCCCTGGTCAGCACTTCACACTAGAACTCCAGGAAATACCTCATGGATCCAGTCACTAATGAGCATATGTTGATTATCATCAGAATGGGTTTTGTGGATATCATAGTAATCTTGATAGTTGAGATCAGTTAGTTATACAATTTAGCATGTAAATGATCCATTCTAGTTAAGTTTTATATTATATGTTATTATTTTCTGAATTAATAGGAAGCAACATTCACTACAGTATTAGCATATGATTTGGGAATGCTTGCTCATCATTGTACATGTCAAACCGATGCAAATCATCCTGAAAATCCTCAACGATTAATTTCTATTTGGCAAAGACTTCAAGTAAGTATCATATCGTTGATTTATTTATTTTTGTTTCTATCAACTTATGTAACTGATCTGTTGTTGATACAGAAGACTGAATTATGATCAGTCTTTGTTGACTTGTATATATGTCTAATGGATCCCTCGATTTAACATGATATATAAAACAAAGTTGAAAGCGTGATTCAATTGAATCTGGACCACCAGGGAAAACCTGGAAGAACTGAATGGCCGTTTCGTCCTATTGTGGGACTTTTCAGCAGTGCGCATCCACGATCTAACCTCATCAGATTCCAACTCAAGACCTATCAGTCTCGCACCAGAGAACTTAACCGATAAACCACTGAGCTGACATCCGATGGTGTTTATGACTGATAGGTCCTGGGTTCGAATCTCGCGAGGCATGATCGTGGATACGCACTGATGAGGAGTCCCATAATATTACGAAACGGCCGTCCAGTGCTTCCAGGTTTTCCAAAGTGGTCTAGCTTCAATTGACTCATGATTTCAACAATGAAAATACCGAAATATCCACAAAAACCCCTTCTAATCCTGTTTTCGTTGTAAAGAAGAATGATTCTACCTCAAACGCTGATTAGCTTATTCCGTTTTTTTGATAACTAAACATTTTTTCCACTTTACACAACACAACTGATATGAAATAAGGCTTCTTACGTAATCACACTGAATGTTTATATCTGTGTACATAATGTAAATTAGCATGACTAAGTGTATGGAGAATTGGAAAATATCAACAGATTAATGAAGGTTTGAAAACAGTATTACTATAGCAATAATAGGAGGTTAATGAATTGTATGATTGATATCATTGACTGACCTAAGTTAAACAAGCACTAAAAACCAAGGAACACTAAACAGTTGTTTCATTCTAGTATGGAACTGTTCATCAGTGCACATGCATGACCCATGACGAGTGTACAACTTTAAAATCTATGGGCCAACAGCCGACTGTTTACACGTCAAACGTTATGACGAGACTTGAAGAACTTGGGCTTTATCACCGATGAGGTAGTAGTGGATTTTCACTAATTAGAAATACTAACCTTCTATAAAACAGATGTCCATTGTTGCCTTATTTTCAATAATCGTATAACTAAGATCAGTTACTGATATAAACTGCATTTTCATACCATGATTTGTACACTGATTAGTATTAGTTAGATTTTGAATAACCTACGATGAGTATCAATCGTCATTGATCAATCAATAGCTTATATCAATATAATTTATAAATGTCATAAGATATAAATTCTATAACCAATTCAGGTATTTACTAACTTCATCCAAACACTTAGGGTTCAATGGTAATCGATTTGATCGATTCATTATCGAATAATTGATTTAAAGAACAAATGGATCTGTAGTCAACAGTTAGATCCATGCCGCATATTTTGTACTAGCTGATTCCCAGTGTTTATGTTTACACTGGGACTAAAGCCCAGTACCTTTTCCTTGAAATGTTCATCTTTAGAAACATTTGTGAGTAGTGGCTATATCGTGATAGTTCACATAGAAAACACATTACCAATAAAGGTTAACCAAAATTTAACTAAGGTTATTAACAAGAGTATGATTCAAAACGTTCAAATCAATCGAAGGTAGACCACCATGGAGAACCTGGTAGGTGTTAAATTTGAACATCCGAACTTCAACATCTCACAAACAGTTATATTTCCTAAAAAAAAAAGTCTGGATCGGTCATTTGAATTACAAACTGTTCCACGAACGGTACAATCAGTAGAAATAGACGACTTGAACAAAAAAATTTCTGACAATTAAAGGTAGGTGCTCTCAAGGTCATGTATGATCAGACACTTTCACTACTTTCTACTCCCCATACTTTAGACTACAATGATGATATCATGCGATTGTTATTGTACCAAGAACTCTAAACGAACAATCTACTTTTAGCAAATCAACAGATTACATATATGAAAGAAATAACATCTTTAAGATGGCGGAGAAGATTTGTAGCTCAGGCGGGTGATTTTGGTGGAGTTTCGTTCTCTGATCTTGATGGTTTGGTCGTGGAGCTTTCATTGTCCTTCTGAACGACATCATCAACACAAACTTTTACCCGAAGAAATAACATCGGGAGTCAAGTGATGTCTGTGAGATATATATATCAGTTTGGAGTTGTGGAAATTGTTAAGTTTTTGATTGAGATCATCAATCAATCTATGTTAGACCGGCATTGAAAACCTGGATGCACTGGACCGCCGTTTCGTCCTAGTATGGGACTCCTCAATAACAGTAACAATAACCCAAGAACGCACTTAATCAACTGTGTACAAATTTATTCAAGAGGATGAGGACACACTATAGTATACTTACAGTGCGTAAATATGATGAAAAATATCCAGTCATTATCCCCCAAAAGGACGGCTACTCAATCAACTTCATCAAAAAATATCAACCTCACTCATCATCAGAAACGAAATCAAGTATGGAAACTAACAAACGGATCATCCTATCATATATGAAAGACATTTCAGAAATTACAAAATTATTGAAGCCATGTGGAATAGGTGTAGCATGCTAACCAGCGAAATCACTTCAATCAATCCTATGCAAACCAGAAGACGAAATGATAAAAGAAGTAAAACCGAAAATCATCTACAAAATAAATTGTTCGAAATTCGAAAAACATTAAATCGGAAAAGGTGGACACCCCCTTCATTTTCACCTCCACGAACATTGATCAGCGGTCAGACATCATGACCTATCCTCATTTAACATCAATGCATATGGACAACTATGGAAAAAATTCGGCTGTATAAATGTTGAGATATTGGATTGAAGGAATGTCAAAAGCATGAGGGAATTTTTAAAAACTTGGCATTCAGTTCAATCAGCAATCAACAAACATACTGAAATTGATCTCACTCATATAATCATTATCCCATTCATATCCATGATTACTATGTTACTTTCAACAAAGTTTCATTTTTCTTCATATATAAGCAATAACCAAAGCTTTGGCGGCTTGCTTGAACATCTGGCTTACTTGTTCCTACCATCTAGATATTTTAAAAACTTATCTAATGTTGTTTGTTCCGATACATCATTATGACTATCAATCGCATTGCAATTCTGAAAACTGTACAACCTTTCGTTGTACAAGTTATGAAAGGCGTAATCAGAGATATCATGGTCACTGGCAATATGTTGTTATATCTAGAGCTTTGATTCTTGCTATTTCGTGTACTACTAGACTAATTGAACAATCGAACCCGCAACGTCACAAGAGAGAAGATAGAAGACTAATAAGTAGGAATGTATTTCCCAACACAATGTCAACTATAGTACAAAATCTCATATATTTATAGATTTTGGCCGTAAGTAAATCATCATCTCGGACAGCCAATGGGCAATTAGGGAGTCCTTCTTATTCATCCAATAAGAAAGCTACACATCGACATTTTGGAATGTTCCTCTGGTGGTGATTTGACGGACTGTTTTCAGCTCATTCTGGGCATCTTGAGGCTTCCTTGAGTTTGCCAACGAGCCATCCTTATATATGCATCGAAAATAATGTACATTATCTAAATGTTGATTGACTGAACCGCTAACATCTAACTAACGATCACTCAATATTTATCACCAGGATCGACGAAGAAGTAAGAAATGGAAACTTGTTGAAATACATTGCACTGAGAATTCTATGTTGTACCAACAATATAATATTGTCAGAAGGGGGTTTCGTGCAGATTTTAGTAAATATATGTAGTGGAGATCATGAATCAATTGAAGCTAGACAACCATGGAAAATTTGGAAGCACTGGACGGCCGTTTCATCCTATTATGGAACTCCTCAGTCGTGCGCATCCATGATCCCGCCTCTCGAGATTCGAAGCGAGGACCTACCGGTCTCGAGCCAGGGCACTTAACCGATAGACCACTGAGCCAGCTGGCATCCAACGGTGTTAATGTCTAACCTCAGCCAATCCATGAAATTGCGTGACCAACTTCCAGTGAACTGAGGTAGATACCTGTCTCTACCTTACATGGATTAGCTCCACTGGTCACGTCTTCTCACTAGAACTCCAAGAATTAACTTATGGAGCCAGTCACAAGTGGGTATGTGATCATTATCAGCTAATAATAATAGATAAATAAAAATATCACTTAATTTCTGAATTCACAAAAAGCAAATAATAATAACAATAACGTTACTTACTTATGCCTGTTACCCCTCGTCGAGGAGCATAAGCCGCTCACCAGCATTCTCCATCCAACTCTGTCCTGAGCCTTCCTTTCCAGTTCTTTCCAGTTAACATTAATCCTTTTCATATCTGCTTCTATTTCCCGGCATAATGTGTTATTTGACCTTCCCCATTTCCACTTCCCTTCCTGATTCCAAGTTAGGAATTGAGTCGTGATGCACAACAGTGATTTCCTTAATGTATGTCCTATCCACTTCCAACGACTTTTCCTAATTTCCTCTTCAGCTGGAAGCTGCTTTGTCCTCTCCCATAAAACGCTGTTGCTGATAGTATCCGGCCAATGGATGTTGAGTATTTTGCGTAGACAAATGTTTATGAATACTTGTAGCTTATTGACGATGGACTTAATGGTAGTTCTCCACATTTCAGCTCCGTGCAGTAAAACTGACAGTCTTGACGTTCGCATTGAAGTTTCTGACTTTGAAATTAGTTGACAGTTTTTTTGAGTTCCATATGTTCTTCAATTGTAGAAATTCTACTCTTGCTTTGCCAATCCTCGTCTTTACATCTGCATCCGATACTCCTTGTTTATCCACGATGCTTCCCAGGTACGTGAATGTTTCCACCTCTTCCAGAGTTTCTCCATCAAGTGTGATTGGTTTTGTTGGTTTTCTCTGTGTTGTATTTGAGAATCTTGCTTTTTCCTTTGTGAATGTGTTGGCCTATCGATACAGAGGCTGCTGTTACAATAACGTGCCTTTCCATTCAATCAAAATGATTCCCTAGTAACATACATATATCACCATGAAGACGTGGACTAGATATTGATTATTGCCGAAATGTTTTCATAATGATTAAAAAAAAGAGTGAAACAAATGATTTTCATTGCAATTACATTTATAAGTGATATAGTGTTTTGTTAAGTTTCCTCTATGTTCATCTAATGTATACCCTTACACTGTAATACATACATACATACATACATACATACATACATACATACATACATACATACATACATACATACATACATACATACATACGGACACACATGCACACACATAAATGCACATATAAACACTGATATGGATAGTTTTTTTTATTATTAAGATGAACAATACTGTAACTTTGAATACAAATAACTTAAGGGGAAGAATATTTCTATGATCTGTTTTCTTTTTTTTTCTAGACTGAAAAACACACTTAGTAACAACAACAAAAAAACACCAAAATACATTTTGCATCATACATTCGAAATACTTTCTTGTATCCCATTACTTTCTTCTTCTTCTTCTTCTCTTTTTTTGTTGTCTTAGAAACAAAATATTTACTTGTTTGGAAAAAAAGAGATATGATATATAGGTAGTGAATTCATTCTATACTGAATAGAATTCTAGAAATATAAGTATTATGGAGGTGCATGATGAATTTTGGAAACATTGATGGTTTACGGTAAGCAGAGATGGATAATGGCTAGCAGTAAAATCCAGGACGCGCGCCACTTCGTTCTATTTGGGACACGTCAGCTGGAAGTATCTGCATCTCAGACTTCGAGTCCCAGAGTGAACATGAACAAGTCTGAGATGCAGGTACATCCGGCTGACAAGTCCCAGATAGGATGAAGTGGCGTGCGTCCTGGATTCCACTGCTAGCCATTATCCATCTCTGCTTACCATGCTTGTGAATTAAGGCTATATTGAGGCAATACGCATAGTATGTACATATGCCAAGTAGAGACTGACCAGTTGCAGTCCTAACACATCTATGGGAAGATTCAAACAAACAATACTAAATGAATTAATGGTTTACATTTTTTCCATTTTTAATCGATGAACAAATTGTTTCTCATGTATCTACTGCATTTTTAATAAGCTATTTTAATTGTTCTGCTCTGATATTCCAACTTACTTACGCCTATTACTCCCATTGGAGCATAGACCGCCGACCAGCATTCTACAATCTACTAATCTAAGAAGGTCTAAGAAAACTCCGTCCTACTAACCAGTTCAGTGCATATTACTTACCTAGCGCCTAGCAACTCTGTATGAAAACTAGAAACCATTATACTTGTGAATCTCCCTTCATCTACTAATTCATATACATGACGAAAAGCTATTTCATTATTAGCCTCAGTTCTCTTGAATAATTTATTGTTTGCATTTCTCAGTAATCGAGATCTTGATTTGATTAATCTAGCACAATATCAGTAAATTTGGTTTGAAATTGTTTATAATCGTGTAGTAACTAGATAAACGCGTTATAACACCTAGAATGTAAAACAGGAACTTCAAAAATATTTGCCATAGACTCAGTGGTCATGAAGTAACTCACTAGTTGAAATAACTCAAATTTATGAGTTCCTCCACTATCTGTGGTTTCGCCCCCAAATGCCCTGGTACGGCCGAAAGTGGGAAGAGGCCATCCTCCCAATCCAAATGCTGTCACATAGCCACGCGTATACAGCCTCTGTCAGAAAACTCCTACTCACTCTCTTCTCGTGGCATTACTGTTGTTTACGAAATTGATAAGACGAAAAGAGAATGTTCGGTTCTGTAACCTGGTTTGTGGACATAGAAAGTCCACCTTGGGGAATTGGAAAACCTTGATTCCAAACCAATGGTGCACGTTGGTTCCAGGACCTTGAAGGAACAAATGGCGTATGAATCAATCATTGGTCACCGGCTACCATGGGACTGCATATCCTCATGATGCTCTACTGTCTTGTGGATCAGACCTTTCGGTCAAAGACTCCGGGTGTGGCCCCTTAAGAAAACCACCTGATTCAGTTTGGGCACCTGGGCAGTATCAAAGCCCTCACACAAATCTCATTTGATTTGTGTGACGCATATATTTATCTGGTGCTTTCTTGTACCAATATTTATGTTTGGTTTGTCACTGTTAATGAGTCCCATATAAGTCTGTCTGTTTTAGATACTAACTCGTTCAGCAAAAATTACTTCATGTTTCAATGTCTATATTATTTAACTTGGAATTCATCATATTATAGTAAAGGAGATCACAGGTGAGGACAAGCTATCATGTTTTTAGTACAAATTTTGAAGTTGCTTGGTAAAATAGAAAAACCATACTCTGATACTTCACTTACACAATGTTCATTAATTGTCTCAGGTTTCATTGTTCCTGGATTTCCACACCAATTGCCTTCTGTTCCCGTTCTTCCCCTCTTGATTTTCTCAATCTTCTTCTACTACCAGATATTTTATTCTTGACTCACGATATACTACTTATGTCGTTATAAGTAGCCCATAACATAATATTAGGATTTTTTTCTAAAGACTTAATGTTATATCACTTGCAAGTGTATTTTCACAAAAAACAATGTTTGCTCAATATTTTCCCTCTTCATCAAAATGTCTAGGCATTTAGTGTATCTTTTTTACAACTTCTCTTTCTACTGTGTCTTATATCAACAAAACTTTCAAGTGTAGTTACAAATTTCAAGTACATCTAACGTCACATCTTAAGTACAGACAAACGATTGCAACCATATATATCTGGTTATATAAGAACACACATATAAGAAACGAGTGATAATCATAATACACAGTTAAGTATGATTGAGTATGTACTCAATGAGTTAAGAAATCGATTTCATTAATTTAATCATAGCTAATTATAAACATTCATTCTCTCTTAACTTAATCATTGATTAGCAAAGATGGATAGTGGCTAGCAGTGGAATCCAGGATGCGCGCCACATTGTCCTGTTTCGAACTCGTCAGCTGGATGTACCTGCATCTCAGGGTTGATGTTCACTCTGAAAGTCGAACCCAGTATCTTTCGCTTCAAACACCATCGCATTATCCACTCAGCCACTGAGTCCTGATAGCCATTTACTTGTGCAATGTAGTGTAGTTTAAATTCATTAAGTGTTGTTTGTTTGAATCTTCTCATAGATGTGTTAGGACTGCAACTGGTCAGTCTCTAATTGACATATGTGCATACTATGCCTATTGCCTCAATATAGCCTTAATTCACGAGTATGGTAAGCAGAGATGAATAGTAGCTGGCAGTGGAATCCCGGACGCGCGTTTCGTAATATTTTTGACTTGTCAGCTGGATGTACCTGCATCTCAGAGTTGATGTTCACTTTAGGACTCGAAACCAGTATCAAATGAAAAATAAAAACTAAAGTTTGAGCAAATTCACTTGGTATTGTTTGAGTGAATCTTCCCATTGAGATACACTTCATTGAGATTATTAAGATGTAATCCTGATGATTTCAATACTGAGTATAACCTGAACTAGGAATACGCTAATATTTTTCGTTGTTCCAGTTTTAAAGGATCCATCTTGCATTCTTCTGATATTTATTCTGATTTAAGATTAATCGATTGAATTGCGATATTAAAGTAATATTATAAAGTTGATGAATGCCAATTATCATGAAATGAAGTTCAACCAGGTGGCGAATGTTGATTGCCCACAATTGCCAACTAATGCCAAAATATAGTGCTCCTCGATCTCGATTCTACTCACATTAGTAGTCATATTGTAACTTTATATATATATATATATATGATTGGACATTATATGAAATATGGTGTAATCTATCTATCTATTTAATAGATTATGTGGTACTGATGAAACGAAATATATGTAATGAGAACTCTCCTAAAGTTTAAGGCATAAAGTAATGATTAGTTTGTCTATTAAAGAACAAACACAGTCTTACGTGTGTAATCTGTGTTTTGGGATCTTGTAAAGACGCACAATAGTACAATATATTGATTCATAGAGAATTCAAATGAGAAACTTATGGTATATCTTCAGTATTGGGATTCGATTGATCAGTCAGCATACTCAAATGTAAACCTCTACTGGATATCCAATCGTCAAGATTTTGTCTTTTACACACAAACTACTACAGTCATCGTCAAGAAGGTACAAGAATTTTTAAACATTTGTCTGCGAAATATACTCAACATTCGTTGGCCGGATACTATCAGCAACAGCGTTTTATGGGAGAGGACAAACCAGCTTCCAGCTGAAGAGGAAATTAGGAAAAGTCGTTGGAAGTGGATAGGACATACATTGAGGAAATCACCAATGTGTATTACAAGGCAATCCCTAAATTGGAATGGTGAAGGGAAGCGGAAAAGTGGAAGGCCAAAGAACACATTACGTCGGGAAATATAAGCAGATATGAACATGATGAATGTTGACTGTAAAGAACTGGAAAGGAAGGCTCAGGACAGAGTTATATGGAGAATGCTGGTGAGTGGATTATGCTCCTCGACGAGGGGTAACAGGCATAAGTAAGTAAGTAAATTCAATAGTTGAAAAGTTTAGATATGAATTGTTTACTTTTGCACACATTATTTTGTTTTAAGTAATATTGAAGTCTTTTTGACCATTATTTTGATTTATAGCAAACTGGTTTGGCAGCAAAATGTCATCATCAACCTGGCAGACGAGCATCTTTAATTGAACTGCAATTAGTTCACAAAGATGTGTATACAGTTTTATTTGGCAGTAATCCAGCAAGTAGATGTCGGATTGATCCAACCCTTTTAGCTACAGTACGTTTATGTAGGTTAGCCTGTGGCGGAGTCGGTGTAGATTCTGATACAGCTTGGCATACTGCTGGACATACAGCTCATGCAGCGAGACTGGCAGCTGGATGTGTTGTTGATTTGGCATGTCGCGTAATGCTTGGTCAATGTCCCAATGGTTTTGCTTTAGTAAGACCACCTGGACACCATGCAGAACCAGGTCAAGCTATGGGATTTTGTTATTTCAACTCAGTAGCGATAGCTGCTAAACGAGCTCAATTCCTTGGTTCAACAACACTAGGTACTGGACAAAGCTCTGTAATTTCTTCTTCAGCAACCACCTTGTTCGATCAATCAACTTTTCTCCCATACACTATGGAATCCGCACTTAAACCACGAATTTTAATAGTAGACTGGGATATTCATCATGGAAACGGAACTCAAACAGTATTTTACACAGACCCAACTGTGTTGTACATATCACTTCATAGACATGATGAAGGGGGATTTTTTCCCGGTACTGGATCACCTGAAGAAATAGGCTCTGGTCCTGGAGAAGGATATACCATTAATATTGCTTGGCCATCAGGAATAGTTATGTCTGATGCTGAGTATTTAGCAGCATTTCGTTTGATTATTCTACCCGTCGCTTGTGAATTTCAACCTAGTATTGTTTTAATTTCCGCTGGTTTCGACGCTGCTCCCGGTCATTCAGCTAATCTTGGTGGTTATTCAGTAAGTCCTGCTGCTTTTGGTTGGATGACACGTCTATTATCAATTGATCGTATTGCTAATTCTAAAGTAGTATTATCTCTAGAAGGTGGTTATGATATGAATAGTCTTTGTGATTGTACAGAAGCATGTGTACGAGCATTACTTAGATCAGCAGCTGAAATAAATGAAAGAAATTCAATACCTATTAGTGTTCCAGATTTAATTCCTTTAAAACAATCTGAATTAGATAGAGTTCCACATCCTTCAGCAATACAAACTTTATTAAAAGTTGCACATTTACATTCTGCTTATTGGACTAGTTTTTCTAATGAAATTGATACACATTATGCATCTATGCCTGCTAGTAGTTGGTTACCAACAATATTTGATGATAATTCAATTGAAATCAAAGATTTGAGTTCAACTACTGAGCATATTTCAGTAGTATCTACAAATGTTACACCATTAAATGCTAATAAACGATTCTTAAAATCTTTAATTAAACAAACACCGTTAACGACTGAATTGAATGTACTTACATCTGGGAATATGACAGAAAATAATCGATATTACAATTTCGTCATGCGACAAGCTTCATCAATGGATGAAACAAATGAAACTGAAATGAAACCTAATTCTATAAGAAGAAGAAGATCAACAACTGGTATTACACCTTCTAATATGGATTCAATCACATCGATAAATGATACAAATGAAACAATAACACGTATTGCATTAACACGTCTAGCTGAATTACATGTCACTTCACAACCTGAATGAGTCTCCATGATACCCCCCCCTCCTTCTTTCAAATGTTAAGGTTGTGATAGTGTTGTTGTTGTTGATGATGTTTTTCTTTAGTTTCTATTCTACGGAAAAGAGAAACAGATCATCATAATTGTCCATTTGAAATGTTTCGTTTTTCTTTGTTTATTCCCTGTATATAACCAAGTGAATGGAAATGAACATTCCTTACCTTATAGATAAACATCTTTAAATATGTACAACAAAATACAAAGTTCCCGGTGCCTTAAAACACTTCTATTATTATTATTATTACTACTGCTACTACTACTACCTCTAAATATAAATCATGTTCAATATTCAATATATATATACCTACACTTATACTTACTTATACAATACTACTGATATTTCTAATAAAAGTAGTACAATTTTCACGAACTAAAAACGAATATGTCTGTTTTTCTTTTTGTTTGTTTGTTTGTTTTTAATTATTATTTGCACGTTACATTTTGTTTTGTTCATTAAAACAAATTGATGTTTCATTATTGATCTTGTTTGTTTTGAATCTTTCCATCGATGTGTTAGGATTGCAACTGGTCAGTTTCTAATTGGCATATGTGCATACTATGCGGACTGCCTCGATATTCCCTTTATTCACAAGCATGGTAAGCAAAGATGGATAGTGGCTAGAAGTGGAATCCACGATGCGCGTTTGTTCTTATTTGGGACTTATCAGCTGGATGTACCTGCATCTCAGAGTTGATGTTCACTTTGGGACTCGAACCCATTATCAAGTGAATTTAAACTTCACCCCATCGCACAAGCAAGTGGCTATCAGGACTTAATACCTGAGTAGATAAAGTGATGGCATTTGAAGCGAAAGGTACTGTGTTGGAGTTCCAGAGTGAATATCAACTTTGAGATGCAGGTAAACCCAGCTGACGAGTCCCAAATACGACAAAGTGGCGCGCATCCTGTATTCCACTGCTAGCAAGTATCCATCATTGCTTACAATTGATTGTCTGTTTGATAATTTAATTTCTTCTTTTCTTTTTTTAAACGTCAATTAGATTATTTTTTTGTTGTGTGTAGATAAATATCTCTTTAAATAAGACCGTAAACAAAGTTAAATACTTACTTACTTACTTTCGCCTGTTACTCCCAATGGAGCATAGGCCGCCTGTAGCTCCTCTGGGGGTTGCTGCCGGTCCCAAGCCCAGGTAAAGAAGGAGGGTTGGGCATGGGGTTAGCGACCCCATCCCGTAGAAAATCAACTCGCTAAAAAAAACGCCAACCAGAAAAAATCATTCAAAGTTAAGTAGTTATTGAGAAATAATAGAAAAAATGTTAAGTTTAATAAAGAGCTATTCATGGTTAAGATCGTGATTCAAAGATCACTATAGATCATTGTATTGTTATTTAGTAATGGGAAGTTTGAATTGTTTTGAAATATAGTGATACTGAGAATATGGACTGATAATCAATATATGTGAAGGCAAATGAAATGAACACTTCAGGTGAGCGGATTTCCATCTTCTCTCGTTTGAGGTTAAAGTTGAGACACACAACGTTATTAGTCTTGTACTAAATTACTAAAATTTCTGTAGCTTGTTCAACATCACTGGTTGATTTATCAAGCACAAGTAAAGTACAGCTACTTTTGGTTTAAATTATAAAGAGTAATTTGTAATCTATAGATGGTACATGGAGGGTTTTCGAGAATAAATCACATGGTTATCTAAAAAAGAAGCTGTAATAGAGAAAGAAACCCATAAATCTGAAGTGTCTTTTTTATTATCTGACATTAGTCAGATTTCCTGGTTAGCGTTTTTCTTTAACCGAAGAACTACAAAATCCATCATCCAGAAGATAGAAATGTTTATTAACAGTTGTCTTCGCAAAATACTTCGGATCCGTTGGACATACACTATAAGCAACAACAATGTACTGTGGAAGAGAACAAACTAGATTCCAATGGAGGAAGAAATCAGGAAGAGGCGTTGGAAATGGATAAGACACACATTGAGGAAATCACCGAACTGCCTCACAAAGCAAGCCCTCACATGGAATCGTGAAGGTCAAAGGAGAAGAGGACGACGAAAAAACATATTACGCCGAGAAATGGAGACCAACATGAGGAGAATGAACAAAAGTTGGATAGAACTAGGAAGGAAGGGTGAGGACAGAGTGGGTTGAAGAATTCTGGTAGGTGGCCTATGCTCTATTGGGAGTAACAGACGTCAGTAAGTAAGTCGGACTTCGAACATTAGATAGAACTCATTAGGAATGCCATATGAAAATCACATTTCCATTTAAAAACGTGGAATCCACAACGAAATTGGAAAGATTTATCAATCATTTAAGTGTCCATCTTAATTTCATTCGTTTTTTGTCGTAACCTGTTCTTCGCTAAGAAATCACTGTCCAAATTGAACAAAGGGATTTAACTTTTTTACAAGGTGATCCTCATAACACCATTGACAGATAATTTAATTTCATGTTGTGTCATAATCAACAGTTTAGAAAAATTCGATTTACCTGTATATGATTACGCAATCATATGCAGAGTTAGGAAAACAATAATGTAAATTACATCAGATAAATCACACTGTAGTGTGGTCTACTTATATCCTTATAAGTAGTATATGGTGACGGTCAGACATAGAATGTATTTTGGCAGAAGACAGATAAAGAAAAAACTAAAATGAAGCGCAATTGTTAGGAAAATGCATGAACAATGAATTCTGAGACAATGGACTGATATTTACGGAAGGAACAGTAACGACTGAGACGATTGGTTGTTATTTTGCAAATTGATCGTTCACTGCATGGTCATCAGAATGCAGTGAGATAGTTTGTAATTTGTGTTTTAATACATTCGATTGTCCCCAACTAGTGTTTTGTTCAACACAACAGTGACTAAACGTTCAGACTGATCAGTTCCGCTACATTTAACAATAAGGATGAAGTACAAACGTTTAGAAGTAATGATTTCTGAAATTTTCAGTGAAACAAAATTTAAAGATTGGCTTCATTATATAAAAACTAATTTTAACGCTGAATTAGGAACGTTTTTCCATAATTCAAAGTATATTGTGGCGCCCATTAATAGTTTTATAGGTTTCCTAAATTAATGTTGACCTTGTTAACTTTAATTAACACATACCGACTGGAGGCAGTCGGTTTAGCTACTACAACAAGTCATTGTTATCTACGCCGTGCTGCGCCACTAGTCAGCTTAAGCTACGTGCGTAGCTACACGTTGACCGCTTTTCAAATATATATTTGGATCTATTCACTCTCCAATCCTGGTTTACCTAGCTGTCGGATCCTCGTATGGAATGATGTTTGGGACGAATCTTTGTTAAGTACTGTATATCCGTAAAACTTTTTGCTATGCATGCAGTAATAAATCGATCCTCTGGAAAAACAGTTTTCTAAGTCTTTGACACTTACGCTAACCTCATTAGTTTTGGGGAGGATAACCTTTCTCGTGGCATGCGGTCACTCATTCTCACCAGGTCCCCTTTGGGAACACCGTACTGCTCATCCGTTGCTTCGACTATTTAGCTTACATTACACGTTCCTCCATATACGGACATCCTCTGAAATACAGCTTCAAACTCCTTCATTCCCTAATTATGGTCTGACTGAGTTTAGGAATTTTTGACTAGATAGGTGTTTTGCACAAAAGCTTTGTAAAGTGCTGAATATCTGTGGCATGAGTGAACCGCACTCATTCCAATGGGTTGCACCAATTCTGCATCTTGTTCAGTATGGAAAAATTAGGGCAGTTTTCATCAAGATGCATCTTTCTGTCCATAACATAGTTCAACGAACCATTGTTAAGTTTCTAGGCACTGAGAGCCGAAAGCAAATAAACAGACAATATGAATGCGATGGTCATTGAATCTATGGCGCTCTATTTGAAAAGAACAGTAGTGTTTTTCGTTTGATTATTTTTTATAGTATTGATCGTTTAATTACGCATCAAGACCTCTGTTTTTGCTTGAATTGAATTTATTTCAGTTAAAGTGATCTCCAAGAAAATGGCTATCTTCTACAGAAGCGCATCATTTGTATTTTTGAGTACAGATACAAAAAAGAGCAGTGGTATATTTTTTTCCTCGTTGAGTATATCTTTTAGTATTGTTTGTATCAAAAGGTGTTAAAGTCGTTCGGTAAGTACTGACGTCGCATCGTTTTATTGTTGTTAGGTTCAGTAACATACAAATCTTTGTTTTTGTTTGTGCTATAGCAACCATCCTACAATCACTTTCGATTATAGCCAATTTTGGTTAAGCCCTTTTTATTAACTTACTTAACAGACATCGTCATTTGGATAGTAACAATTAGCAAATTCTTTGCACTGCCATACCACTAGAGCACATGACACTCTAGCCGAAATGTTGACTGCTCAAATATCATTCGATGACTCATACTCCTCCCCATATATGTACGCACGCAAATATTATTATCAGCCTTTGCTTTGCTTTGCTGTGCTCTTATTAAATTTGACTATAAATTGCTTATGTAATTGCTTGCTATTCGCTCGCTCGCTTGCTCCTCGTTCGTTTCCTTCGCTTGTTTGCCTGTTCATTCGCTCGTTCATATACGCTCAGGTGTTGTTAGCTTCCGAACCTGAGTCATTCGACAATAAACTGTAGTTGCTGCTATCCTTTGTCTTCTGATTTTACGCACCGTTAAGTTTAGAATTCTAACGTTTATCGAAGTAAACGGTTAACAAATCGCGGCACTACAGAATTGGAGGCCTCGCAGAACGAGCACGACGCAATAGTGCTCAATGTTAATCATCTATTAAGTTTTAAAAGACACTTTTTCTAGAGACCAGTTACCGCTGTTGTTCTTCCTCTGAGATCACAAAACAAATTTATGGCGCAAATAAAACATTGTTTTGGGAGACGTGGATGCAATTTCTCGGTGTATGATGGAATGCGATGTGACAATTGCAATAACTAATACCACTATGTATGTACCGGTCTCACATCGGCTGCACATAAAACTTGCTGCAAGCCATTATCACGTTGGTTGTGAAAAGCATGCTGTTTTACAAAGTCTTTGCTGGTTCTTGAGTTGATTAGGCTGCTGAACAAAGCTAGAAAATTGACCTCATATAAAAAGGCAGAAGTGAATTAGCAAAATTCAGCTAAGGTGGAAATAGCCAGCGTTATCATGAGCTCAGCTTTGGATTTGAATGAAACCATAAAGGTGGACTCCATCAAAAACGCAAACATCAAGTATACTGATATAAGCACTGGTACAAGAAAAAAGAAAAAGTACTCTGATAAAAAACAAATTGTAGGCAACACTAAGGTATGCAGATCTATGGATTCAATTCCGGATTCACATATCAACGCAAAAAAGACTATGGAATAGCAAAAACTGAGTGGTGTAGAGGATGTGATCAAGTGACAAAATAAGGTCAATGAGTGTCTTACAGTCACATTCCGAAAAGGAAACGTAAGAAAACAGAAAGAGACCTCTGCGCTTGACGCAAAATCGTGATCGGATTGCAGGAAGATTTCAGGAATAAAAATTCTACAGCGTGTCAAATCGGATTTCGCTGATAGGTAAGTCATGTTCCATAAATTAGGGTAATCTTCCATGAAGGAAGCAACCAAATGCTAGACTTGAGCACGACCTCAGGGACATGACGTTTTTAAACAGGAGAAAATTCTTCAGGAGCTAGCATCTGCAAGCTTTATAGACTAAAACAAAAGGTGTTTCCTGAAATTTCTCAGAAAAGCTGCTTCTTAAAGGTGACATTTGCCTCGGCTGAAGAAAGAAATTTGATATTGTGAAACTCACGCAAACTGATTAGATCCGGAATATACGTCCGTGAGGATCCCAGAATGGTTGATAGTATCAAGAGACAACCAGCAGAAGTAGAAATAAATGAGCACCGCCGAAACCGTGAAAAACCTCGTACTGAAGGGTTTTTAACTTGTAAAAGTTCGGAGAAAAACGACCCTCAAACCACTACGAGTGGTAAAGAAAGATTTTCCACAGAATAAATGATGTGCTGCACAAATGATTGCAGCCTACGGATTAATATGGCTGAGCTCAAGTTAATGGTTTATATAAAAAACCTGGATGTTTAAGAAACATGGTTAACGTCAGAAGTGTTTGATAATGAAATTCAATTGACTATTTTATCCAGTAAGCCGTAGCCGAGGTAGAGTTATCCTGTACAAGAAAAGTAACTGTTGAGAGAGTGGCACATGATTCAAAGGCATATGAACTTGTGCGTTGCAGCCTGAAATGTAGACGACAAGATAATTCGGTGTAGTAAATCGCATTCCAGAATGTGTGGTAGATAACTTCGTCCTAGTCAAACTTAAGTCCTGGTGTATTGGGGGTAAAAGCCTGATCGTAGGCGATAGTAGTCGGTCAAGTGGCTTTCCTCATAACTTTGAGGAGAAGTGATCATGCAGTAATCTTACTCAAAGTTGTAGATGAGATGGTCTGTCAAACAGTCGCGCCGACCTGTCCTATCACATGGAAGGCAGGCTTGAAGATGAAAAACTCTGCGGCATCGACTGAAAACTAGGAATTCGACTCAGAGTCATCAGTAGAAGAGGCATGCACACATTTCAGGTAGTTATACAATCGGGCAACCCAACCATATATACCCTATACAGTCCCAAAGAAGAAGAAACACGTACATGCTTGGATGGACCAGAATATTTGATGTTTACCAAGACGAAAGAAGAAATGCTGGAATTTTGTCATCAGCCTTGAAGCAACAGGCACGATGGAACTCTACAGATCGGTAAGAAACACGTGTATAAATAAAATTCGGGAGGCTCAAAGAAAAAGTGAAATGCAGTTGGCACAATCTGCAACTGGAACTGATGTACGTACGTACGAAGTTCTACGTTGTAACTGACTGACTGACTGACTCAAGCAGACTAAGAGAATATCCTTGTACATAAATTAAAGAACAAGGATGAAGCATTGGATTCACAACCTAATTAAGGTAGAGAGCGGATCTCACATCATAAATGATGATCAGGAAAAAGCCCAATTCGGGGCAGTTTTCACTCAGAAGCCTCCTTCAGACAAAGAAATAGACCCAAATACAAAATCAACAAATCGTCTGCTCACCGTGGACTTCGATCAATACGATAATAATAAGGCTCTTAGCACTTTAGACTCGGAAAAGTCAATAGGATCGGGTGAAGTAAACCAAAAAATATCGAGATGAATTGTATGATGTATTGCAGCCCCACTAACTGTGATATTCAATATGCCACTTAGACAAGTTGAGTTACCTATGGACTGGAGGAATGCAACTGTCACCCCAATACATAATAGAGGCTCAAGACAACTTCCATCAAACAACAGACCCGTTAGCAGGCTCACCAGTATCGTAGTTGAAATACTGAAAAGAATAGTCGGAAAGATCATAATGAGACACATGGAAAACAAAAACTTTTTAAACAGCGAACAACATGGTTTCAGAAAAAGTATATCTTGCACAACAGTCAAGAAAAACTATCATTGTAGAATGCCGATTAGCATGTCTGCGTTCTAAAACTTGACGAATAGTGAATATGTGGTCGGTGCAGAAAAGATTAAGTCTGGAGCCAGCCTGATTTTCTTGTGTTTGTAGTTCACAAGTCTTAGTTAGGCGCACGACAATTATTGAGCCTAGTATTGTAGTTGCTATGTTAGTCAAACTAATCCCTCTATGGTTATCACAGGATGATTTTGGCCCCTTCTCATATATTGGGACAATCAGTGATTGTGACCAGTCAGATGGGATTGCGTTCAACTCCCAGATTCTAGCCACAATATAAGCCAACCTGATCGAAAAAATTGGATCACCAGATTTAAAGACCTCTGGAACCAATCCATCGCTTCAGATTAGCTATAGCCTTTTGTACTTCAAGTAGGGTCGGGGGGCTTACTTCAATGTTCCATTCAGACTGTCTGGGAATAGTGGGTAGTTGTGCAGTAGCTGAAGGCCAGCTGAACTGCCCCTTAAAGTGTTCTGCTAATCGTTCTAAACGTCTGGGTTGAGAGCAGATAAGGGTTCTGTCTTTTTCCGAGATCGTTTCACTTACACTTGACTTATTAATTCCAGTTTCTTTTATTAGTCTGAAGAATTGCCTGGTGTTGCCTACAGACGATGCCTTTTCCATCTCTTTTGCTTTCGTTGCCCACCACCGCTCACGATCGTTCCTTAGACATTTAGTTAACCTAGATCTAATTTGTTTACTCTCTTCGTCGTGTTCAGAGCCTGATAGGATAAGTTTACGCGAATCCATCAGTGAAACAGACTTAGAAGAAACCCATTGCTTTTTTGGAAACCTTTGGTTTGAATTACTAATAGATGTTACCGCTGTTTCCACAAATGTTCGTATATCTTTGGAAAAGGTCCAAAGAGGAGCTACTAAGCTGATTCCGGGAATCTCCTCGCTAAACTGAATATATTCCCATTACTATATTAAAGAACCAGAGGGGACTTGATTACAGTTTCAAACTACTAAGACATAAATTTGTAGCTTACATGCCCTCATTTTTCCCGACTTTCAAAACAGAGACTTTACGAGGACAATCCAAAACAGTTTACAATGAAGATGCGACCAGTATTCTAGTTTGACGACTAGCAACCATTAACACCTATATTCGAAGCGTTACCCAACCAGTTAAAACCAGAAGTCAGATGTGAAGAGATTGGAAAGATATATTTGATGCGTTATCAATGTATCGAGAAGCGTTTACTCTAATCTGGCAAGTGAACATAGGAGCTGTGTCACACGCTGAGTCGTAACGTGATCTGGTACGGATGCATGACCGAAAGCCTTCAGTTGACAAAGTCCATTTAAAACAATGTGGTCAGCATCCAATGTCGAACACTTAATGAGCAATTGATTTTGTGGAATTATTTACAGCTACAACAAGCTCAGGACAAATTACTTGTCAGATGATCATCGACTTTCCCATCGAATCATCAACAAGTGAAGTTCATTACCTCAAAACGTGACTAAAACTCTATCTGTTGACTTTCACAGAAGAAATTCGGATCAACTGAGAGACAGCCGGGACTAACACAGGACGTCATGCCTCTTGTCCTTTTCAAACTGAAACCTATCTTACCTTGAGTTCACTTAGATTTGGTGCCATGGTTGCATGGAAGACTGCTCTAGGTTCTTTTTGTTAACTACTTATCTTACACAACAGCCAATACATCGCTTATTTTGATTCTTGTAATATTAAGGTGAACCTAAAAAATTTTCAACACGAAAAACTATCTCCATTAATTCAGATGCTGTTTTCAAAAAAAAACTAGGTTGGCCGATAGATACAGGAATTTATAAAAAATCAAGTTCTCAAGGTAAGGATCAAATAATAGAATGCAATCAGCACATTGTTTTTTCTCAAAAAGTTTAAACTAACTGTAAGTCGTTTTAGTGTATCGTGGAAGTCATAGTATGTCAATAGAGCCGGTTTGAAGCTCGTTGCTGTGGTCTATTTGTTCACCACAGTAATGTCTCTCCCCGAGGTCGGGAGAATAGCTTCTGATACAACTTTCTTATTGAAAGTAGTAGAAGAATATCTAGGTGGACCACCATGGACTCAGGAATATGCAAAAAATGATGTTAAAGTTTGGTCCAAAGGGTCAAAAAATGACCAGGTCAGGGCTTTCAAGGCGACCGCACTTTTCAAAGGAGTTTCAGGATCTGAGTTATTTGACTGCATAATGGATTCTGCTTATCGAAAGGAGTGGGACAAATCAATGATTGAAAGTTATGAACTGTGTCAAGTACACCCTCAAAGTGACATAGGATATTACTCTCGTATGTGAAATGCTATCTATTGATCTGTTTTTAGTTCGTTCTCCTCCGGGGTTGAAGAATAGGGATTTTGTTCTTCAGAGAACATGGGAAAGGTTTGACTCGTATTATGTGATTGCCTGCCACTCTGTATTTCATAAGGTATGTTCTTTTGTGATTTTTGTGTCAACCACACCTACCTTCTCATCATCATCTTGTGTATTTATTAGTTTATACCAAAAATAACGTATTATCTCGTTTTAAAGTGCTATTATTGATCAGATGAGGTAAAATACGTCTTGTTAGTGGATGCGCAAGTGAAGTGCAACTGTTCATTGATGTTAATCCATAGTTGGAAAGTGACGCAATGGAGTCCAGAACACACTTTCCATCCCATTTGTAGCTGACCATTTGCAGCCCTTAAGATCAACATAAAATTCAAAGAGCCCTTACAAATGTTAGTCAGTTTATCTAATGTGTTCTGTGTGAAGTGAATAATATTGGTTAACTGATTGAGCATAGAAATCTGGGAAAGTTGCTAAAACCGAATAGACTCACAATGTGCTGTTATATAATCAAGGTAGTCTAGGGGTAAACAGCTTTAAATGGGAACGATTCCGGTTGATTTACATAAGATACCATGATACCAAAGAACTTCCCTGGTTCCTCCGTATGCTATGAGATTCATAAGTTGTACTATCAATTTCAAATTCATTTATATCATAGTTGTAACTTATAACCCTTGTATATAAACATCAAAAGGCTCATTGTGGACTTCAAGTTCTTACCAATGCCTTTAGTGGTGTATTTACGTCATTTTAAACAGTGGAATCTTTTATTGTGTAATAAATTGTATAGTAACTCCTCTGTAAGATAGTGTAAGGAATAACTCAGTTCGGTAACTAATACTATGAAGGAGCGGACTCCCACAAATACCCACCATTATTGTCTCGTGAAACATACTCATTGAAATTTAGGAAGCACAAATTACTGACTCAAATGTTTTTAATAAATCAAAGTTAGTGAAAAACGATTGTCTCTGTTTACCTATTTTTTTTTGTTTTCAATGCTAATGAACTCTGGGTTTCCTGGGTCTATAATTTATAACTAATTCACCCCAATACCCCACGAATTCATCTAATTTTTTTATCAATTGGCAATCTATTTGAGAATTCTATACGTTTTTAAAAATCTAAAATTGACCATGTAGATGTAATCCTGTCTAATAATCCATACACTTGAATATACAGTTGATTTTAATAAGGTAACTAACATATCTGTATTGGCGTAAATTATAACTTCTTACAACTTTATCATGCAGATAAGATATTAAGAGCCGGAAAGCTAAATTTGACTGTTTTCTTACTGATACCAATTAAACTGTTCTGTGAATTTAAAGATAATGTTGCGGTAGTAGTAATTTCTGATTATGACGATAATCATTAGCGTTCTCAACAGTTTTCCCTTCCTATTATTAGAATTTATTCATAGTCAATCTTAGCACCCTTATATTCCATTGTATTTCAACTTCACGTTATCAAAGTTTATGTTTCCGTATAGAATCCTAAAGTCTATTATTTCAGGAAAGTTTGTTCATCTACAAGAGTGGACATATCTGTATCAAATCTATATAGTTATAGAACACTTTAAGACATTCTATGCTATCAGCTTTCACATCATGATTATATGGAGTTATTAATCTTGTCCGTCTTTAGCCTTTTATTATTATCTACAACCACTGATATCATAATGTTTTACTATCAGCATCTTAGAATCTTCAAGCCTAAAATGTAGCATAAGCATCCTGGCGAAATTTATATCACACCGCATGCTGCATAATAATTCGCCCTGTGCTAAAAGATGCTAGTTAAAACATGATGTTAGTAGATTGCTTGTATTGTGCTGTGGATATTTTTGAAGCCTAATGTTTGTATGATAGGCCGACGAATTATGCTTTAAACGTTGGATACTGAAATCTAAATAATAAGAACAGATCATTTTGTGGGGCTGTGAACTTGTACTGTCTGATGGTTAACAAAATCATTGTGCATGTCATTTTACTGTCTGCCGTAATGTAGTGATCTTGGCAAAAGTAGATTACTAACTAGCGTTATAAGTCATATAAGAAAGTATAGACTCCTTGAATTGAATCCTAATAATTATGGATCATGGCTTTAAATCCAACTTACCTGTAAGCGAATTTACCTTATATGATTTTACACATTTTGATCATTTTCACTTTTTCCTTTAAAATTCTTGTCTTTTCTCTGACTGCAAACTACAATACATTAGGCTTGTGTGAATATCTTGTGTAGTTTTACTGTTTCACTACAAAATACCATTACTTGTTCCTTAAAATATACCAAGAACTACGAGTTTAGGCTTTTAATGTCTAAAGCTTATCTGGTATCGATCACTAGGACTCACTACCAAAAACGTTTTTTGTTTCCTATAAGCACTATGTTCATGAGACAGGCATATAAGTCAGAGGTTTACGTTCACTTAATTCTACTTGCTTACTTCTTTAATTCTGTGCAGCACTCCACTTCTGCTGATTCCAATGTAGGAAATATAAGAAGCCTAGACTAAGATTCTCACTCCAACCATCGACATATAGAATACCTGGTAGTACTATTATAGGTTCTCACCTGGAAATCTAATCGTTTGGTCACGATTATTGTGAAACCTAGGGTAAGTATACATCTATTCAAGTTTAAGTACTACGTCATCACATCAAGACAAAGTGAACAAGATAAATAAAAAACGAGTTGAATTAGTAATAGTAGTAAAAGTTATTGTTAAGAAAGGCTTATATATTAAATCTCGGAATTTCATGCAGTTGATTCTTTATGCGAATTTGAACAAAGCCAAAACAGCGGTTGAGGCAGAATATTATGAATTCATCATATTTTGTGATTTTTCATCAGCTGCTTACAACCATATATGTATCAAAGTGTAACATTGAGTTTTGGTATACACTTTTGACAGCGCTCGTAAACTTCGCCTAAATAAAAGCTTCGAAGAGGAATTTACTTTCATTACAACCTGTCTTCATGAAAGTGCATACTCATTAAAATTTATCTAGAAGTATGCCAAAAATAATGTACACAATCCAGCGAAAAAGAAAGCCTACTTATATCTGCGCTTCAGAGGATATAAGATTACTGAAGTAATTAACCACAGGATAAATGCTACGATGAACATTGATGATCCAGTACAAAGACTGACGACATTATGCAAAAGGTCACAAGTCATCTTTTCTTTGTAACTCCAAATGCAATAACCAGTGTACATGTGAATGCTAAGACACGAACTCTGAGCACGTTCCAAAGAATTTGAGACTGAGAGGTACAACAGCATTAAATACGGCAATGGCTCGGCATTTAGTTGGTACCGAGAATATTATTGACATTTCCTGATCCTTCAAAATTATCAGCAAATAAAACTCAGCGTCTCTTTTGTTTGCCAAAGCATTAAAACGTTTTTATGTGGTCATCGCCAAACTACTTCTTATTTTTCTGTACTCTAAAACCATTCACTTACTCTATTCGCTTTTATTTATTTAAACACATATATATTGGTACAAAAGGGCACCAGGTACATATGCGCCACACAAAATAATGAAAGTAGGAATAGAAGGGATGAAAAGATAAGGCGGACTGAAATGTACAACCAGAAGACTCTTTCAGTTAAGAAAGTTAGAACTACTCTTTATGTAGAAAGTAAAAGAAGGTTGCAGCAGGATCGTCACTGGCTTCTATTCTGAGCCATATCTGATAACGTCTCTAGCCAATGTGTTGCACCATCTCTCGGACCCCAGCCAGGGAGTCGTGAAGGACCAACAGGAGCTAGCCCTTTGCAGCTTTCTTTCATGCCACGACACCATGTCATACACTGACCTCCTCTCCGCTTTTTCCAACCAGTCCCAGGGTCGGCAAACAATGCACGACGTGGAAGTCTCTGGGAGGACATTCGTAGAACATGTCCAAGCCACCGAAGTCGGTGTTTCAAGATGGTGACACCAATTGAATTATCGTCACTGCGGCCGAACACACGATGCCGAACCTCTGCATTACTAACATGGTGTTGCCACTGAATGTCAACAATCCTTCGGAGACAACGATGATCGAACACAGAGAGACGTCTAACATCCTCAACTCGGAGAGGCCAGGTTTCACAAGCATAGAGCAAAACTGCTCTCACCGACGCGTTGTAGATCCGACCTTTTACAGCCATACTAACATCACGAAGGCGCCAAAGATGGCCCAGATTGGCATAAGCCGCTCTGGCTTTCCTTATACGTGCATCAATCTCATCACTCACGCCACCACCAGCACTTATATAGCTACCTAGATACACGAACTTCTCAACTACTTCAATCTGCTCACCATCCAGAGTGAGTACAGGATGAGAATCCTGCCAGTCTTGTAGGAGTACTTTGCACTTGGAGGGTGCAAAGCACATGCCGTACCTGCGGACACTGATTGCCAACTGATTAAGTGCGGATTGCATGGCTTGAGCATTATTGCACAGTAAGACAATATCATCCGCATACTCAAGGTCGAGAAGTCGTTCTCCGGGCAACATATCCACACCGCCATTACTTACATCCACCAGAGCTGTTTCCAGGATGTCGTCGATGGCAAAGTTGAAGAGGAATGGTGAGATCGGGCAACCCTGCCTAACCCAACTGCTCGAAGGGAACAAGGGAGAAAGGTGGTTGTATGCCCTCACTCTGCCTGAGATGTTCGTATACAGGGCCTTTAAGATGTTAATGAACTTCTCAAGCACACCCTTCTTCAATAGACAATCCCAGAGAACAGTCCTGTCCAACGAATCGAAGGCCGCCCTGATATCAAGAAACACTACGATTGTTGGCCTGCGATAAGTATGACGGTGTTCTAACATTTGGCGGAGGGTGAAGATGTGATCAATGCATCCTCGACCAGAACGAAAACCAGCCTGCTCCTCGCGAGTCAATCGTTCTCGGGTTTTAAACAACCTACGAAGAATGATAGAAGCCAATAGTTTGGACGCAATCGAAAGTAGACTTATCCCCCGATAGTTATTGCAGGAACAACGTGAACCCTTTTTAAAGATAGGGACGACTATTGACTCTTTCCAAGATGTTGGAACACTTTCTTGTTCCCAAACAACACAGTCAATTCCTTAGTCAGAAAGCCACCACCATCTTTAAAAAGAGCCGGAGGTAAGTCATCTGAGCCCGGTGATTTGTAACGTTTCAAGAGTTGGAGTTCCTTGCGGACTTCCGCCTCGTTTGGTGGAACAGTCGTCACCGGCCATGGGGGGCAGGACAAACTGGTTGATGTTGCCGGAGCAGCAGGCCAGTTGAACTGCCCTTCGAAAAATTCCGCCCATCGTTCAAGACGTCGACAGATGTTAGTGATTGGCATCCCGTCATCCTCGTAGATTGTTTCACTCACACCAGACTTCTTGCTGCCAGTGGCTCGGATGAGTTGGAAGAGCTTCCGGCAATTACCAGATGTAGCTGCTGCTTCCATCTCATTAGCACGCTCCGACCACCAGGCTTCCCGGTCCTCACGCAAGCTTTGCCCGATTTCATTACATAACAGCCTTCGTTTGTGGTCAAACTCACGGTCACCCGGAGTAGACCGATGGGCTTCCATCAGTTGTAAGGAGCCAGAAGAAACCCAGTGCTTGTAAGCGGGACGTTTCGCGAAGCCGCAAGCGGCTTTACTCGCTATTTTCATGGCGTCGTGAAGAAGCAACCAATGCTCATCCATACTTTTCGGTGGGGTGGTAGCTAGCCTAGAGGCTAGCTCCGCTCGATACTTACTTGCAACAGAAGTTGCAGCCAGTTTACTAACATCAATCCGTTGGTGGTGGTCAATCCTTCGGCCACTGAAAAGTAAGGTGAGATTGGCGCAGACCAGGGCATGATCAGACTCCAGATAGGTACTCCAAAAGGAGCGGCAGTCTTGTACACAACCACGCCAGTGGTAGCTGATCGCGATGTGATCAATCTGAGTCCAGGCTTGGGATGCAGAGGGAGGACGCCAGGTGGCACACCAGCGATGACTGTGCCGGAAGTTAGTGCTGGCCAGAAACAGGTTGTGGTCTGTGCATAGTTGCAACAAACGGTCCCCGTTATCTGTTCTACGACCAACAGATCCCCATCGGCCACCTAAACGACTCTCTTCTGTGCATTCAAGTCTCCGGCTAGTACTACAATATCTGTCGAACGCGCTTTCTGGAGAACTGTTAACTGATGGTAAAACTCATCCTTGATTGCATCCGGGCTGCAATCTGTCGGGGCATAGGCGGAGATGACAAAAAGACACCGTTTCTCACGCCGACTTCTTCTCACTTTGATGGAACTTTCTAATCTAACAGCACATTACCGACTGTTAATGGCAATCCAATCGATTAGTGCTGCCTCAGCCCTAGAGCTTAGTGCGACACCAACGCCTGCAAGACCAGACGAAGATGCCACAGGGTCCCCGGATAAGCGCACGTGGAACAAGCTTTTCGAGGCGACAGATGGAGAGCGGATTTGTAGTACTTCACTAGAGTCTTGAATACGGGTCTCGGATAGACAGCAAACATCAACTTTAAGACTTTCTAAAGACATAGCCAGCCCCATCTGTTGTCTGATATGCATTAGTGTGCGAATGTTGGAGGAAGCCAGCTTGAACGGCGTACGTGGTTTCAGAAAAACTGCTTCAGTATTCATAATCGGTGGAAGCATTCACTTTCAACCAGACAGTGACTGGAGATCGTTTAGATAGGACAGATTTTCCACCATGGGTGAGCTGCTGCATAAGTTGAAAAGTAAGGTTACACAAATTGGGGATAAAAGGGGGTGAGTTAGCGATATGGTAAATAATAATAATAATAATAATAATAATAATAATAGTAATAATAATAGTAATAATAATAATAGTAATAATAATAGTAATAATAATAATAATAACAATAATAATAATGATAATAATAAAGGTAATAACAATAATAATGTAAATTGTCTTGCTTCTAGTATGAGCAGGAATAGTATCGTCAATAGAATTCATCATTTCATTTATTTGTGTGTGGGCTGTGATACTGCCCAGAAGCCCAAACCGAAGCAGGTGGTTTTCTTAGGGGGCCACACCCCGAGCCTTTGACCAAAAAGTCTGATCCACAAGGCAGTGGAGCATCGTGAGGAGATGCAGTCCCATGGTAGCCGTTGACCAATGACAGGTTCTTCCGCCATTCGTTCCATCAGGATACTGGAGCCCATGTGCACCATTGGTTTGGAATCAGGGTTTTCCAACTCCCCTAGGTGGACTCTCCGTGTCCACCAACCAGGTTAAAGCGCCGGACATTTGCTTTTCGTCCTCTCACTTTCGTAAAAAACGCCGGCTCCACGAGAATACAGTGAGTAGGACTTCCCTGACAGAGGCTATATATTCGCGTGGCCATATGAGAGCATTTCGAGAGGGAGAGTAGACTCTCCCCACTCTCGGCCGTACCAGGGCATTTGGGGGCAAAGTGAGTGCGAACGCACATCTATTCGCTTAACTCACGTAAACTCATTAAATCTTGTTTAATTATTGCATAACCCTTGAGTTTCTAATTTTGGACGATGACAAGATCACGTTTTTAAAATTTTTCATTTCTACTTTCCAGTGACTTGAACTTTATGAAAACTCTTCATAACTACAGTCACACGACCCGTCCTTTTCTGTTTCCGGATTTCATTTAATTACTGTCGCATGCCCTCCTCCTATGTTTTTAAATTCCGTTTACAAATGACCTCAAATTTATTCACATATATGTGTTATTGATGATAATCTTTATTATTCTAGCCTTTTTCTATCACCAATGTGAATCGTTTCACATTAGATATTACATCTCAATTCGTATAAGTGTTTGTAAGCAGGTGATGAGAAACCATAAAACATAAGGAATTCATATTATTCTGCCTTAATAGTAGTTTTGGCTTTATTCAAATGTCAGAATATGGGCGAAGATACAGAATGGGTAAATTCACACTATTACAAGCTATTTGATACTATGTTGCCTAATGTCAGCCATCATTGTCACCAAAAGGCTTGTACCCCACCCCTTCTTTCAACACAGCTTCAAACCAACAATCTTCAATTTCATATACTAATGCCATAGTTCACCTTGGTTGCTCTCATCTACACGTTTTAGTTGAAACTTGTCCTCACTATTGATCACTAATCATTAGTGAGTAACTATGAGATTCGGTAGATTAATAAGTCTAACATTTCTAGAAATAATCTTAATCCTTATCTGATTATATATATTTTAAAAAAAAAACTAACTTATTATATTCTGTTGTTTGTATTGATTTGCAAGGGGATTCCTGTTCGAAAACAATGTATCCGAGCATTAACCCACATGAATGCATATATTATTCGACAACTTGGTACAAATTCCTGTGAAATGACTTATGTCACTAGCTGTGATTTCCGTGGTTAGTGTGTAGTGTTTTAAAAAAATTATAATATTTTAATTTTATATTCAGAAAAAAGATCAGTGCTCTAGAGTAATAAAAGGTCAGTACAAAAAGGCTCATAAAAAAGCTTGCGTACGGTTGCCAGGTCTTGCGTTCATGATTGTCTAACATATATATATACTATATTCCTCGTCAGTTATTTAGTACTTTATTGTGACAATTTTTTTGCTTGTCACCATTTGGTTTCAACTTCGCCATCAGAGAAATTCTATAAACATCTTCGAAGCACATCGTAATAGTGTAAACCTATCTAGAGAAAGATTTTCTGATTTCGAGTTCTCCGAAAACATTGTCTCCCTGTGCAGTAATACACAAGGTTTACGTGTCACACTTAATCAATCGACAAGTAATGTTTGTAGGTATGACATGTACTTTACAATTTTCAAATGGATAGTTTTTGTACACACCTAGCGGAAACCTGTTTCTGCACTCATTTTTTTGTGGTGAGTCGCTAAAAGTTATCAAAAGCTCATACATCTTCATAGTTATATCACTGTTGATGGTGGTATTATGGAGGATATCTGTTTACGTGTGTTGATCTTCAGTTTGGTATCTGCCAGTTTAGGGTATATTTGACGTTATTCTGATATTATTCTCGTTGCAAGGGATGAGTTCTCCAATACATCGATGAGAGCAATTCCTCTGCTCGCTTGTGTAACTCATGAACTGCGAGATGACGATGAATAACATCTCTGGCTTTGATCCTTGTTAATTTGGAAGGAATGATAACATCTAACGAAATCCCCATGTTAGTAATGCTGACGTTCAGAAAGATATATTTTAACACAGTAATAGCAATTGAGTTAGTGTTACCATCGTAAAACACTAGCTCTGACAGCTTAGACATGTTTCACTAGTCATCCAAATTGCTTCCACGTCGTATATTAATTACTTGGTGTGAAAAGTGAAGAGATAGTGTATTATATATGATAAGTATTCACTGCTTCATCACTAGTCCTTGGTTGGAGTCTTAGAAATGCGACTAAGGAGTTTAAAACGTTATTAGAAATGACTCAAAATAGAAGCCAGTGACGATCCTGTTTTAGGATTCTATGACACTCTTCATACTATTGAGGCAATCTTCCCAAAGCTTTTCTTGTCTATATCTTCGGCTGAACTATATATCTCCTTGTATACTATTTCTATTCGTTTCTTTGTTAATTGTTACTTACTTAAACGTGTTACCCCCCATGAGGGAGCGTAGGCTGCTCACCAGTATTCTCCATCCAACTCTGTCCTGGGCAATCCTTTCCAGTTGCTATTCATTCTTTTCATGTCTGCTTCCGATTCCACACTCAGTGTGTTCTTTGATCTTCCTGTTCTCCAATTTTCTGCTCCATACAATAAGACTTACCGTCTTGACGTTCGTATTGAAAATTGCAGCTTTGATTATAGCTAACAGGCAGTTGTATTGAGTTCCACATGTTCCTCAATTGTAAGAATGCGGCCCTTACTTTGCCAATCCTCTTCTTTACATCTGTATTTTGAGGATCTTGATTTTTTTCCTCGTATATGTTAAGGCTTACTGCTACAGAGGCTTCTACCACACCGGTTGTCTTCATTTCCATTTTGTGATGTGTATGGGATAGAAGCACTAGGTGATCTGTGAAGTTTAAATTGTTTAGTTGCATCCAAGCTGTCCATTGTATTCCATGCTTCCCGTAAGATGTCATAGTCTTCATAATCCAGTCAAACACCAAAAGAAAAAGAAAAGATATAGTAGGCAGCCTCGTCTGACACCGGTCCTCACTTGGAATGCATCTGTGATCTGTCCTCCATGCACCATTTTGCAATGAAGTCCGTCATATGGATTCCGGATGATGTTGACGGTTCTCTCGGCACGGACTGAGAAAACTTTAATGGCTTCTATCAAATTACGTCTCTTGTGTCGTAGACGAGATATCATTCTGCCAACCAAAGGATGATTTTACTGCACAGCAGTTTACTCCGTCCTACTTTGTGAGTGTGAAGCCCAGACATTGAGAATAGAGTATATTTGTGGGCTATCAGTATTCGATCAAGGGTGTTTTCGAAGCATCGCTCATATATTTTGAAACCACCGAGTAAGAAACTAATGAGTTAGCAATAGGGTACTGGGTAAATAAATTGATGAGGTAGTAAATCCTCTTAATCAACTGAGGTGGTTCGGACATGTGCTATAAGTCCACAACCACGATCTATCTCGATGGGTGATGCTAACTGGTGTAGCAGTAAGTTGTGAGAAAGCTAGAGCGGCCGAACCAAGGCAATGGCACCAGTTCATGGAGTCATTGATGATTGGAATGACCCATGTTAACAGGTGTGTATATTAGGGTTTGCGTGATTACCGTAATGAATGGTTGAAAACTTTGAATGTTATGGCTCTAAACCGTTTGCAATAAAGCAGGGGCATCCACCCTTTGTCCTCCCTCAGGTTGTAAGCTTCTGAATTCCTCATAACTTTTTTTTTATTTCACTAATATATATTCACTTGAATCGTATCTTCGATGCTTAACAATCTATATTACTACTAATATTGTTACTTCCTTTACTACTCTGGAATTCGGCTTAACACTTTCATCTCTCTGTACTAATGGAGTGTGAAAATTCGAACCAGTCTACATGCGTATAAGGTTCTACTTTGCGTTCAATCGAATAACTGATGTTTATTTTAAATACAACGTCTTAATTGGATTCTATTCGTATTTGGCTAATCATATCAGCTTCACATTAACATATCTACAAATTATCTGTCTATATTGTGCTTTTAATGTGTCGTTTACCCTAACCCTTTCCATAAACACATTTATATCGGTTTGTATTTTCTAGGTAAAATACCAATTTGGGTAATTAACAAGGCCACACAGTTTATGGCTCCTCGAGCAATTCAAATATTGTACAAAGCATGCACTAAATATAATACTTGGAAAAAATCAAATAATCCTGATTACAAACCATGGTTATATCCTGATCAAATCAATCTACCATTGTTATGTTGGGATGATTTAGATCAAACTGCTAATTTAGGACCTACTGATGATGATGGTGATATTACATCATTACCTAGTGATGAATCTATTCTCTTAGATAGAAATGATAGTTTTAATAGTCAAGAAGAACAAAGAGATGTAGAAGAAGAAGTAGTAGTAGAATTCGATTCAGTACCTGTTCAAGATCAAATACAATCATGTGTCAATGGAACTTCTATTGGTACTGTATCCGACTCTAGATAAATTGATTGTATAGACAGTTATTTACTTGTTTGTTTGTCGGTTTGTTGGTGATTAGATGCACAAATTTATTTTGATTATGAATGATATATTGAACTTATATTATGGTCAATGGTTTTTATGATCACATTTGTTTTATTAATGGAATGGTAATGATAACCAACCATGAGCTTTGTTTTTATTTTATTTTCTTCAAATTAAACATGATGATAATGATGAGGAGGAAAAAATAGTTTTTCTTTCTCTGGTGATTGTATACATGTTCATTTGGTTGTTGAATAGTAACTATTAGACATAGGTATGTAAAAATTGATCGTTTAGGTGTGTGTGTGTGTGTTTGCCTCCTCTACCTAATTGACATGTACACATTGATACTTCCTGTTGTATAAAAAGAAAACTGGTTCATTTCTTATAATGTTTTTTTGTAAAAAGTTATAACAACAGTTTATTGATTCCATTTTGTAAAATGCACAAAATGTATTTCTCATTTGTTGTTAGTATTACATAAACGTAGAGGGGGTTGGGGAAAAGATATCAAAACTAGACTACTCTTCTCTTCTATGCTTGATACTTTGTTACCCTGTGAACTTAGTAATGAGTTGTGTGTATGTGTGTGTGTGTGCGCGCACATCTTTTTGTGCATATATAAATACTCACCCGTTGCTCGATATTATCTAAAATAAAAACTATATTTTTGTATTTTCTTTCATTTGGGAAAATTATTGAAAAATAATATATATATGTATTTTTAAGAAATATTTTTTTCATTAATACGTTTAGAGTTGATTTGTTTGTTTGTATGTTTTTTTTGTTGGGGGGGGGGTCCCTTTCTTTCAACCTCTTGTATATTGTATTTTATGTTTGCCCACAAAAAATGATTATTTTAGAAATTGGTGCTTCTTTTACTTGTGATTACAAAATTTGAATTTATCCTAACGTCATTTAGCTAATCTAATTCAGAAGGGGGTTTTGTGGAGATTTTAGTAATTTTATATAGTTGAGATTATGAGTCAATTGAAGCTAGACCACTATGGAAACACTGGACGGCCGTTTCGTCCTATTATGGGACTCCTCAGTAGTGCGAATCCACGATCCTGCACTCGCGAGATACGAATCCAGGACCTACCAGTTTTGCGCTCCACAAAACCACCTTCTGATAATGAACATATGCTCAACAGTGATTGCCTCCATGAGGTATTTTCTGGAGTTCTTGTGAGAAGCAGTAACCAGTGGAGTTCACCCAGGTCTGTAGGGAGATATCAACTAACTGAAGACATTGGTGAATGGTTGCTCAAACATCGTGGATTGGTTGAAGTTAGACAATAACACCGTTGGATGCCGGTTAAGTGCTCTGGTGCGAGACTGATAGGTCCTGGGTTCGAATCTCGCGAGTGCGGGATCGTGGATGAGCACTGCTGAGGAGTCCCATAATAGGAAGAAACGGCCATCCAATGCTTTCAGGTTTTCCATGGTGGTCTAGCTTCAATTAACTCATGATCTTAACTGTATGATATAATTCAGGTTTGTAAATTGAGAATCTTGTAATGTTACTCCATGGCTGCTTAAACCTGGTACTGACTACTTTATGGAATTGATACGTTTCCATTCTATCATCGGGAGGTTTCACTGTAATTTGATCCAATCTAGGGATGTTTTTAAGTTCATATTGATCTACGTGCTTAGCCATTATTGAATGTATGACCGACAACTTAATGACTTATAGGACGATTATAATGTACATGGATTAGTATAGGAATTATGGAGTATATCTTATCGGTCAAACTACACTCGATGATCTTTCTCTTACCAGGACAGTTGAACATTAACCACATTGATTCATTTTTGGATATGAATGTCTCATTCAAATTAAATGTATTTTAATCATGTTTCTGTAAATGAGCACGTCAATTCTTTTCATAAAGTGACTCACATTTTGATGACCAGGTATCCATTCGTTCAAAATTCACGTCTATTGTTAGTTACATTTGTAAGAAATCATCATTAAACTACCATAAAGTTAATATCAAGTAGGTCGAGTGATGGATCGATCGTACAAATGTCCTATAATCCAGAAAATCAATCAAAGCAGTTTTGTGTATTTTAATAATGTGAAGTGTATAAGTAATCATATTCATGATAAACATAATTTGTTGCTATGGTGACAGGTGTGTAGTACCTGCATTGATAATAATGAAATAGAGATAGGATGATCAGGAATCAATGTTTTATCAGTGAATTGATTAAAGTTAAATAATAACGTTGTTGTATGCTTGTTCAGTGGTTTATAAGTTGAGCGTTCGTTCATGAAACCGAAGATCCAGGGTTCGACTCTTGCAGTCAGAGTTATGGATACCCACTATTTAGGAGAACCATATAGAGACAAAATGGCTGCTCAGTGCTTCCAGGTTTTCAATGCTGGTCTAACTTAAATCGGTTCATGAATTCGATAATACATTTTATCATTGAAAACATTACGAATATCATGATAATCAAAGTTACCTAATGCTAAAGAACGGTGTGTATGAATAATTAGAGCACTAATGTACAAATTTATATTCTAGACATTTCAAGAAGTCAGGAAATCCGCGAGGTTTATAGGTCCCATGTAGAACTGACTCGGTTAAAAGGGTGGTGGTAAATTCCACTTTCGTTCCCAATGCCCTGGTACGGCCGAGAGTGGGGAGATTCCGCTCTCCCTCTCGAAATGCTCTCATATGGCCAGCGAATATATAGCCTCTGTCAGAGAAATCATACTCACTGTCTTCTCGTGGCGGGGGTGTTGTTTACGAAAGTGAGAGGACGAAAAGCGAATGTCCGGCGCTTTAACCGGGTTGGTGGATGTGGAGGATCCACCTAGGGGAGTTAGAAAACCCTGATTCCAAACCAATGGTGTACATGGGCTCGAGTATCCTGAATGAATAAATGGCGTATGAATCAATCGTTGATCACCGGCTACCATGGGACTGCATCTCCTCACGATGCTCCACTGCCTTGTGGATCAGATCTTTCTGTCAAAGGCTCGGGGTGTGGCCCCCTAAGAAAACCACCAGCTTCAGTCTGGGCACCTGGGCAGTATCGCAGCCCTCACACAAATCGAATGAGATTTGTATGGCGCATATGTATCGTTCCCAATTCTGATCTTGTACCTGGCAACCAACCAAACTGAACCGGAAATTATTATTTACACTATCGTAATCTATGATGGAGGATATGTTTCAGCTTCTGAAGTTTTAGCTGACTTACATGATTAATTTAAAGTTTCTTATGACAAAAATACCACTCCATCACGATACGGACGTGTCAAATGTAGAGCAGTCAGTTGTGGTTGAAGAAACATCACAACATAACAGAATTTTATACCTACTTATACCTGTTACCCCTCGTGAAGGGGCATAGGCCACCCAGCATCAGAATTCATATCTCCAATTAATTCTATGATAGAAAGTATTCTAAAATATTTAAAATCAAGTGACTAAATAAACGAAAATGTAGTCATAATTCCTGACTATAATACAATTAAATGATTTGAAAACGCAGAGTTTATCTCCAGCCGATTAAACACATTAATGAGTGGTTTAATTTTGATGAGAACGTAAACTGAAACTTTTGTTTATTGTAGTAATACACTAAAGGAGATTAGGCTACTAATGCCGACGGTGTTTGGAACCTAGTCTTCAGTGAATACTTCATATAGAACTATGCTGTTGGGACCCACGTCTGCAATGTTGGGATAGAATTTAGCGAGAAGCAAGCAGCTTCCTTCCTAGGCACTAAAAACTATCGTCAATGAAACAACTAAACTAAACCGTAGTAGTTGGCTTTGCTTTAACTTTCTTACTCCCGACCATTGCTGCCACCTTGACGTGGTGGTCAGGCTGGCCTATCGTGATGAACAAAAAGAGCTATTCTGGCTGAAACAATCGTTCCTCAAGGTCCAACCATGCCAGACAGGTTGGTTGAAGAGCGGTAAGCCTAAAAGCAGAAAACCTAAGGTCCGAAGGCGAAGTCGTACTGCTGATTGTATAGAGATGTGACGGCAGTAAGGTGTTTCCTTCAGACAATTAGCATAACAGTGATGCTGCCTTCCCACAAGGAGGGGTGGGGTTAGAAAAGTTCGACCCTAAAAATACACAACTCGCCTTATCCCACGGATATCCGTCTCTGGCGGTAAGGTTCTGATGAGTACGGAGATAACACAGAAAGGTCGTGTGTGATCGACCTCAAACAGTTGTCACTGATAGATTAACTTTTAATCTGTAAACAGACCGTCGTTAAAGAAATATAGTAAGACTGTAGTAGTTTATGAACTGAATTCATGAACCAATTCAAGCTAGACCACCATAGAAAACCTGGAAGCACCGGATGACCGATTCATCTTAGTATGAGACTCAACAGCAGTGCGCACTCACGACCTCGCTAGTGAGATTTGAATCCAGGTCCTGCTGTCTTGCGTGCGCCGGTACCCAACGGTGTTAATGTCTAACCTCGATTAGTGGTCTAAAGGTGAAATATTCGCATGCGAGATTGAAGGTTCTGGATTCAAATCCCATGAGCGGGATCGTGGATGTGCACTGTTGAGGAGTCCCATACTAGGATGAAACGGCTATTCGGTGCTTCCAGGTTTTCCATCATGTTCTTTTTTTTAAATTTCAACTATAAAACTTTATTTACTTTAATTATAATTTATTCATTATTCAATCTAGAATTATTGATTAAGCCAACATGGTGTCATATGACTTGAAACATTTAATGAAAACAAGTAAGTATTATACGCCACACAATTTTGATTGTTTATTTATTTGTGATATAGATTCTTTATAGTGAATTAGTCTATCTAATGGTAATATTGTTAATCATTATGCGAAGTGTAAAATTTGTGTGAATATGATTAAACATAGATAAGTGATTAAGTTTTTGGATGAAATTGATTTAGATCAGTAGGGGTTCGAGTGGAGATTTCAATATTTTCATAGTTGAAATCATGAGTCAATTGAAGTTAGACCATCATGGAAAACTTCTTCTGAACTATAATCATATGCTCACTAGTGACTGACTTCAAGAGATATTTCCTGAAGTTCTAGTGGAAAGCAGTGACCAATGGAGTTCAACCACATCTGTTGTAGAGATGTCAACTCACTGAAGACAATTGGTGAACGATTGCTCAAAGATTATGGACTGGTTGAAGTTAAACATTAACACCGTTGGATGCCGGCCGGCTCAGTGATCTATCGGTTAAGTGCTCTGTTGCGAGACTTGTAGGTCCTGAGTTCGAATCTCGCGAGTGCGGATGCGCACTGCTGAAGAGTCCCATAATAGGATGAAACGGCCGTCCAGTGCTTTCAGGTTTCCATGGTGATCTAGCTTCAATTGACTCATGATTTCAACTATGAAATTGATTTAATTTAGATGTCTTATTTGATGGTGGTATCATTTGTGAAACCAATGGAAATCTGAAAGCTGTGGATATCTACTACATCTTAGTATAGGACAACTCAGTTTTGATAAGATGTTACCAAAATGGATGTCATTTTTCAATCAGTAGGATAGTTTCGTTCTGTCTGGATCTCGTCGACTAAAAGGTTATCCGTGATCTTATATACATAGGACTCAAACTCAAATTAACCATCTTCACAGTCTGATACGTTACCAACAATACAACATGCACCAATCGGATTACACTTGACGAGGAAGCTTTAGAGAATGTGAAAACTTATACATATCTGGACAACATCATCGATTAACACGGTGGATCTGATGCGGATATGAAGGCGCGGATCGGCAAAGCAAGAGCAGCATATTTACAGCTGAAGAACATCTGAAACTCAAAACAATTGTCTGTCAACCAACACCAAGGTTAGAATTTTCAATACAAATGTCAAGACAGTTCTA